AGGAAGACCCCCAATGAGATGGATTGGCCAAGTGGCAGCATTGATGCATTCAAGTGTGGCAATAATAGTGATATTGGCCCAGGATCAGACAGTGTTTCATTCTGCTGTGCATAAGGTTGCTATGGGTCAGTATCAACTCGATGGCACCTAACAACAACAAAATGCTTCACTGGTTTTGCTTCTCTAGAGAACCCAGTCAAATATAGGATGTCTGTGGTAACTGGAACTGGAAGGTGCCAAAGGACACAGAAACTGAAAGACTCTGAACCTATGTCTAATAAGAATTCACTAAATTCACTTTACATATATTTAGGTAAAGTGTTGGAGGAAAAGCATCAGTTCAGACAGGATGGATTAAAATAGAGAAAGATTTGACAACATGCATGTCCTGTTGTCATGTTATTTGGAAAAATAAAACAAACATCTTCTGTCATGTGTTCATGGAAGTCACATGCATTAATGTACTATCCCTGCAGTTTTTCATTGCTAATGTTGTATTTCTGTATATGATCCTAACAGAAGACAGGTAACTCAATTTTGTACTCTCCCAAAGTTAGATAAATAATAATTCAGGACCCACAGACTCATGACATTTCTTCTTTGTCACATTCAGGAAACCCAGTTCTGAGTTACGAATACTAGGTTTTGTTGTTGTTAAGTGTTGTCAAGTTGGTTCCAACTCATCGTGATCTGGTGTAGCATTTCTGAGGAGCAGTTGGTGGGTTTGAACTACCGACCTTGGGGTTTCACAGTTCAGTGCTCCAGATGGAAAAATGCTTTTGATAGCATCTTAAATTAAAAAAAAAAAAACAAAACAAAAAGAGAGAGAAGAAGAAAATACCCTGCTGGTGCACTGGGCTGCTAACCCTGAGGTGGAAGGTTCAAAACTATCAGTTCATCTATGAGAGAAAGATAAGATTGTCTCCTTCCAAAGAGATTTCCAGTTTCAGAAGCCCTATGGAACAGTCCCTGACACTATGTACTATAAATGCAAAAACGTTAAGTATATGCAGTGATATATGTATGTGTGTTTATTGATAAGGGATATAAGGATTAGAAGGAAAATTTCCAAAAGGATCAGCTTTAAAATTTGATTTTTGAATCATGGGATAGTCGAATGTTAGGTCCTTTCTGTTAGCATGAGTCTCTTGTTCAGGAGAGTTAGGGGCTCTCTGTGCTTCTGTATGTGCAGAAGATTCCAGATGACATGCATCCATGTTCCCTGAAGAAGGTGCAGAGTAAAGAAAAAGAAGGAAGCAGGAGTCAGAGGATTCTGGTTCTGGTCTTGACTTCTAGGGAATGCTAAGTAATCCTGAGGAAGGAACTTAGTTTCTTCACAGGCTACCAGGATGTTTATTGATGGCTATCCCAATGGCTCAAAGGTGAAAGGGCCACAGGAAGGAAGCCCAGATCAAAAGTTACAAACTTGAATGCTTTAGGGGACAGCAGATAACCTAAGTAAACAAAGAGGGCTGGAAGTTTTGATATAGATGTTCTTTGTTTCATAACTATTTAAGCTTATTTTGTGTACCACAAGGAGTATATTCTCCCATTTTTTTCTTGAAGTATGTAAGCTTTGCAGACTTATCTTTTGCTTTTTCACTTTGATAGAAACATGGGTATGTCATATATTTCTCATTAGAGTTGGGTTGACTCATTGGCAACTGGTGTTTTTGTTTCTTAACTGTAGTGTTGGAAACACATGTGTAATGATAAATGCTGCAGCTCTCATCTCAGACTTCACTCAGAGGAAAGTGAAGACTGTACATGCCCAGTCTAAGTGGCATCAACTCCTTAACTCAAGCCAGTTATCAATACAAGGAAATACTGTCTTATTGTGGAGAGTTTTTCTAATTCCATTAAAAAAAGAAAAGTCAGATATCTATATTTTTATGTGAAATTTCTCAATTTATAATCAACAAAACATATTTCAAATGATAAAAGGAATTGTATGTACCCAACAAAACACACATAGGACCAAAGGCTGCCATTTTGAGAGCTCTTCAGAGTTTGCATGGCCTTTTTCCTCTTTCTCATCCCAGAGCCTTCTCCCAGCTCTCCCACAATAGGCACTTACAATTCAGAAGGGAAAAGCAGGGACTTACTATGGGACTGCTGAAGGCCACAGAAGGCTGTGAACTTTCACAGCATCCCATGGACCTTTGTCGGGAGTGGCCTTGGATGGGCACCCGGGCACTGTGGCATCTCCTCAGAGGTTGGGAACCTCCTTGGCCTCTCACAGTTTCAGAACCCTGGACACATCCGGTTGGGAAGGACAGGTGCTGGTATTGAGTCCACTCTTCAGTGTCTGAATCCAGCTCCTTTGGCATCTCCAGTCGTTTGGCTGAAAGAAAGGAGTTTTGTTATTGCTCCAGTCACACCTTGTTATTGCTGGGTCATGATTGAGGAGATCACCAACATTATGGGTTGGAATAACAGGGGAAGAATCTATACTGCTCTGGAAAAGTGACAGTTGCATTACCCTGACTAGAGAAAGAGGGTGGAACTAACTCTCATAGGTACAAATCCTGGCAATACTACCAACTAGTTATGTGACTTTGAATTTGACTTGCCTGTGCCTTTATTTCTCTAGTCCTGTTGTGGTGCTGTTCCACTAACCATAGGTCAGTGGTTCAAATCCACCAACCTATCCTTGGAAACCCTATACGGGATCGCTATGAGTAGGAACCAACTTGATGACATTTAACAACAACAATTTTCTCTACTAGAGTTTATTATTTTTAAAAAGGTACTTAAATAAAAGGGTTATTTTGAAGACCTCGTGGCATAATGTATTAAAGTGGTTAGCACACTCTGAGTACTGATAATTATGTTATTATCAACACTCTTATCATTTAAAAAAAGACACTTTCAAGTGAATGTTTAATGACCTCCATGGAAAAAAAGGATAGGGTTGCCTGTAAAATCTCCTCTCTCGCCCCATCCTTTTATCCAAACTAATGAATGATGCTTCCTTAAGGGTTTTTTTCTCTTAGTTAGAAAGTGGGTTTATGAGTGGTGACTGAGGGAATTGGGTCAATTTTTAGGCCCCTTTCAGTCTATGTCAGAATTTTATCATTTTATAGTCATTATCTGCTTAGTTGCAGTTTTGTTTCAGTGAAAATCAAAGATATCAGTTATAGCATGGAAGGCATTTCCCAGGTGTGTGAAATCTAACCATGAGCCTAGACCTACGTCAGGTGACCTCAGAAATTCTTACACCTTGGCTGTCTGGGTTACAATGAGGACATGTCCCCAAATCCATTCCTGACAGATAAAAAAGGGTCCTCTGTGTAAATCACACCAGAAAAAGACCAGCTGGAGGGGTTTCATGCATGAGGTCACCTATGAATAAATGGAAGTTTAGAGGTAATACATAAGAACAACCCTAAGCTGTGACAAAAGCACATGAAGACAGTAAGCTACTTGCCAAAATGCCACAGCATCTGTGGGAAGCCAAGGCAATGTTTCTTATCTCTAAGTCTCTGAGGAGATCAGGATGTTTCCTTAGAAAGAGGGATGAAGGTCCTTGGGAGCTCTGCCTACCGTTTTCTTGGTGAGAAAACTCATTGCCCATGATGGTGCATCTCCGGAACACCATCTTGTTCTCAGTCAGGGTCCCAGTCTTGTCAGAGAAAATGTACTGGATCTGGCCCAGGTCCTCAGTGATATTGAGGGCTCGGCACTGAATGGGCACATTGGTCTCTTCATCGTACAGATCAAGGTCATTGTGCAGGAAGAAGACTTGCCCGAGCTTCACCAATTCAATGGACACATATAGAGAGATGGGGATCAGCACCTGAGAGGAAATCAATTCCCACCATGTCAGAAACCAGGCTGGACTTCCTGTCCCAGGACCCTAATAGTGGGTAGTAAAGGTATTGAGTGGAAAACCCGGTGGACTCTGACAAATTAAAGTCAGTGACTTCATGCCTGCCTTGGCAACTTATTGGGATTCTTAAGGGAATCTTCAAACAGGGAGGAGGTCCTTATCATTGGCTTGCTTAATGTCTGAGTTGATGGAGAGTAAGGGAGCATTAGAACTCTGTCCAGAGAGCTCTGACTCCCTCAGATATCTCTGCTACCTCCTTTTACAGATATTCAGTCACATTGCTAGTTACTGGTTACTGATTCAACACATAATATTTACTGAGTTATGACTATGTACAACCACTATTCTTGAAAGCAAAGCAAAGCAAAGCAAACCCAACCCAATGCCATTGAACCAATTCTCACTCACAGCAACCCTACAGGACAGAGTAGACCAGCCCCATAGGGATTCAATTGCTGTTAATCTTTCTGGAAGCAGACTACCACATTGCTCTCCCAATGAGCAGACATTGGGCTCAAACTTTGGATCCTTGGTTGGCAGCTGAGCACTTTAACCACTGTGCCACCAAGGTTCTTCAGACACTTCTAAATTTTAGAACTAGTAGTGAACAGAACAAAATCCCTGGCCTTGAAGACATCACATTCTAGTGGGAGGATATGACAGTAAACAAATAAATATGAGCACATGTAGTGCTGTAAGATAAGCATTAGACTGCTAACCACAAGGCTGGCAATTCAAACCTACTAGCCGCTCTTTGGAAATCCTATACAGGATTGCAATGAGTTGGAACTGACTCAATGGCATTTAATAACACCATTACAACATATATCAGGTCAGGATAAGTTTCATGGAGAAGAAGACAATAAGAAAGCAATGGCAATGGGCTTGGGTTGTCTTTTTGGTGTAGAAGAGGGATTGAATCTTAAAAGAATTACTTTGTAAAGAATCAAATGAGTGAATTCACTAATTAAATGTTTAACCAGTTAATAAATGAAGAACATCATGATTGGAAAAGTGGAAGATCAGTGGAGAAGAAGAAGACTCCCAATGAGATGGACTGACCAGTGGCAACAACAATGGATTGAAACATAACAACAATTGTGAGACTGGCACAGAATGGAGCAGTGTTTTGTTCTGTCATACATATGATCACTATGAGTTAGAATCAGCTCGATGACACCTAACAACAACCACAACCACAACAACATCCTTAGGGGCTCTATATGTTTTTTCCTCCTATATAAGGTCAGTTCTGTTCTTTTCCTTCTCCATCTATCAAATGGAGAACACTAAACTATAGTTTCTTTCTTTCAGTACTTGGGGCTGGAGAGTTCTTTGTAGCTTTCTGTGCTACTCGATCTTCTTTTTGTTCCTTGGTCATTTCTGTTTTTCCTGTTCTATAACTGGAAAAGCGACAGATACACATGAGTCACTGTTAAAATCTTACTCTTGAATACAAAAGCCTGATAAATATTTTACCCAAGGCAGGACTGTTCCTGACATTACCCCAAATATGAATACTTTCAAAGACCTCCAGAAAATATTAACTACTTCAGTTATCTAGTTCTCTTGTGGGTCCAGTGCTCATTTTTACTTATTTTGAAAAGTTGTGGAACTATAGGTCACAGGTCTTATTAGGGAGGGAGGTTTTCCTACCTGAAGCAGGATGATCATTGTAAGGAACATGTAGAAACCCCTAAGGGCAAGGGGAAGGAAGCCACCATTGGCATCTGGTACATCAAAGGGAGGATGTTCTTCAAAGGTCCCATTCCAGATAGTATGACCTTAAAGGAGAAAAAGCCAGAGATGAATCTATGCTTAGTCCTAAAACTGGACAATTACATTAGCACTTGACCCATTCTTAGAAATGGGTGTGCTTTGGTGGAACCAATTCCATATTCTATAGCTATGTTTATGTGTATTCATTTGTCTCTAAAGTGGTCCCTAATATACCTTAAACTTTAATCCTCTGATTGGCATTAAGTCTGATTATTAGAGGATTCTAACAAGGAGCTCTGGTAGCATAGTGGTTATGAATCGGGCTGCGAACCAAGGGTCAGCAGTTAGAAACTACCAGCTGTTCTGCGGAAGAAAGATGAGGCATTCTGCTCCCATAAAGATTTAAAGCCTCGGAAACCCTGTACAGGGTCGCTATGAGTTGGAACTGACTCCACAGCACATAACAATAACAACAACATGGGAACTATTTATATTGTAATGAAGTCGTTATAGACAGGGATTGGTAAAAGAGAAAGGGATTTTTTTTTTTTTTTTCAGTTGTGTGACAGAAATTGTATATAGGGGAGTCTTGGCACAGTTGTCCCTTGACCACATTTCCTCATCCATCCATCCATCAATCCATCCATCCATCCATCCATCATCCATTTTAGTCAACATTTAATATATTCAATGAGGAGTTCGTTCTGGCTTTTGTTCTTAAGGAATTCCTTACTGAGTTAAGGAAAGAATAAAATGGAGAAATCTTATACAATGTAAGAGGAGTTATGCCTGAAATTCTATGAGAACACTTAGAAACAGCATCAGACACAGACTGAACCCTCTGTTTCTTTGTCTGCAAAATGGGGGTGATAACACCCATCATCTGAGGACTGTGGAATGAAATGTATCTAGTATCTACTATAAAGATTTCTGTGTCTTAGTATCCTTGGCTGTTAATTAATAATCTAACTTTTCCCATAGAGTTACTGTGAGAATAGAATAACCTAATGTGTATGATGTTCTTAGCTCAGTGACTGACATGTAGTACATGCTCAATAAACACTAGCTGCCTTACCCAGCTCCAGGATATTACTATAGGGAATTACTATACAGAATAATGTCTTTTATTCCCAATAGTAGACACAGATTAAACACACTTTATGCTTGAACCAATACTATCATACATATTCAAGGAAAGGAGATTAACAGACTTGATGCAATTTGAAGACATTATTACTGAGCAAATACTTAAGGACTAAACATATGACACAGAATAAGGGCTGCTACCAGATAACTTGGAGGAAACCAGAGAGGTTTGAATGAATAAAGAGGCCTTCAGAGGTCTTGAACCCTTAGCAGGTGTGGGGCTAAAAGAGTCTTGGGAGGACATTCTAGGCAGAGAAAGAAAGAAGAAACACCACCTTTACAAAATCATTGTAGACATGTGGCAAAGAATTCAGGAATGATGCGCAAGAGCTTTGGTCTCCCTTAGGAGCTATGCTTTAGTGAGGCACCAACAGAGGGATTTCACTGCGTGTCATTCTCAGATAGGATAGAGTTCTGTCCCCCCATTACTTTCTCAGTCTATATATTATTTGGGGGAATCTTCCAAGCTGATTCTGATTTGTCTGTAGCTTATCTCATGGTGTAACCTCTTTATCATTGACTTCCTTTCTCTAGAGACAGAATGAGATGATCTTAAATACTTACTACACACAGAAGCAGAGGCAATAGTCCTGCAGCATCTCTGGAGGGCACAGAGGCAGTCACAAGAGACTGTTTTCTTCTGGAACTGCTTCCTGCCCCTTCCAGGTGTTCTTATGTGATGAACCATCCTCTCACAGTGTGTTATTAGACCCATCTGGGGAGCATATTAATTAAAAACTCCAGGCAGCTCACATGACTTAATCAGAGCATCTTAACTGTGCTGATACATAAAATCTCTCTGGATCCCAGGAAGGCCATAGCTTTCTAAACAATTTTTTATGAACAGTGATGATTCCTAACTAGGACTAGGAAGGCTCATTGGATTGGAGCCAGCAGGGGATTCTGGACTCAGCCCTTGAGTTCTCTCTTGAGTTTCCCTCATTCCTTTTGAGGTATCTGTAGGGCCCTAAGAGCCAAGCTTAGAGTGAAGCAATAGAGGGGTAGCGATGAGTAAGAGCTCCAGCTAGGGCCCCTCTTTGCCTACATTATGAGGGTCAATCTAGATCACTTTGCCTATATCATTGTTGTTGTTGTTAAGTGTTGTTGAGTCAGTTCCGACTCATAGCAATCCTGCATAGGGTTTCCGAGGAGCAGCTGGTGAATTTGAACTGCTGACCTTGTAGCTCAAACTGACCTTATGGTCCAGTGCATTATCCCACAGCACTACACCTACATTAAGAGGGTCAATCTCCAGATCACTCCTACTAAAACCATCCACAGGTCTTCACATGTACAATACTTGCAGAATTCAATCATAGCCTGGTTCTGGTTAGGGCTCCATTCCTGTCTCACTCTTGCAACACCAAATAGTCAACTGTCTCTGCATAAAATGTGCTTCCTGCCCCTATTTTTGCCTCCACCACCAACCTCCTCTGGGAAACTCCTAACTGCATTTTGGGGCTCAAATCTAGCATCTATCTCTGCATGGAAGACTTCCCTCCTTGGTGCTTCCATAAATGGTTGAGATAAGATGAATAATGATCCTCCAAGATGCCCTTGTCCTAATTCCTGGACCTGTCACATATGCTACCTTATATGAATCTTGAGATAGATTATCATAGAATATCCAGGTGGGCTCAATATAATCATCAGGGTCCCTATCAGTGGGAGGCAGAGAGAAATACTATCACAAAAGAGGATAAGGTGATGTAGGCACACATTTGGTTTGAGTAATATGCTTGGAAGATCTCCATCTGTCACAGGCCAAGGTATACCAGTGGCCACTAGAAGCTAGAAAAGATAAGGAAGCAGATCCTTCCCTTAAAACTTCTAGAAGAAACCAGCTTACTGACAACTTTGACCTTAAACCAGTGTTATAGGTTAAACCCTGTCTTCCCCAAATATGTATTCACACCCTTACTCCTGTACCTGTAAATACAATCTTCTTTGGAAACAGAAGTTTTAGGTTAGGTTAATGTGGTCCTGCAAGTGTAGGGTGAGTCCTAAAATCAAATCACTTCTGAGTTATAAAAGAAGCAGAATAAATACAGCCATACACTGCTAATCTCCTGGTCAGCAGTTTGAAACTACGAGTAGTTCCGTGGGAGAAAGATGAGGCTTTCTGCTCCCATAACTCATAGCAACCCTGCATAGGGTTTCCAAGGAGCAGCTGGTGAGTTTGAACTGCTGACCTTGTCTGCCTCCCACTGATAGGGACCCTGGTGATTACATTGAGCCCACCTGGATATTCCAGGATAATCTATCTCAAGATTTGTAGCCCTGGAAACCCTTTACAGGGTCGTTATGAATCGGAACGAACTCCACGACACACTACCCACACACAGGGGGTAGACAGATGACATCTGAAGAGCTTCAAGCAGAGAAATATCAAGGATTCTGGCCAACACCAGAACTAGGAGAGAGACTTTAGAGAAATTGACATGGCCAAGACCCTGATTTGGACCTTCCGTCTCCAGAACTGTGAAGAAAAGCAATTTCTGTTCTATAAAGCCACCCATTTGTTGTATTTCTGTTATGGTAGCCCTATGTAGCACCAAGTGTTAAACTGATTTTGGACTTCTGACTTCTGGATAAATCTGTATTGTTCTAAACCACTAAGCTTGTGGTAATTTGTGACAGCAGCAGTTGGAAATGGATATAACATCTGTGTGCATTCCTCATTGAGTGTGGAAGATTGTATTATCGATTCTCATCATGTGTTGCACTTCATCTAGCCCTAGATGATGAGCTTTTGGAAGATCGCCCTGTGATTGATTCATCTTGTTATCTTCCCATGCTAACAGAGTGCTCAGGATCAGTAAGTATTTCTTGAATGAATAAATGATGGATGACAATTCCTACTATTTCAGTAGCCCATAATCTTAATCTAATTGCATCTTATCTCACTGGCATCTCACATTATTAACCTAGAAAGGATAGCTGTTTAGTTGTTGTTTCCTGTTTTTTTTTGACAGGATAGATTTATATCAACTCTTATTTTACAGATAAGGAAACTGAGACTCAGTGGAAACAACTTGCCCAAAGAAACAGAAGGTTACTGTGCTGCTGTTCTTTCCAGAACATTCCATACCTACAGCTCCAATGAGGCACATGAGGAAGAGGAGCCCAATGCAGAAGAAGATGTCTGTGTTCATGCGTCTCTCGATCTTGCTGCGTTTGTACCGTGGGCCGCTGTTGTTCAACATGGCTTTTGTCTCATGGCCTTTGAAGGAAAATGGAGAAATCAGTCACGGGTTGGTTTTGGCCTGGAATATACCCTTGGCTGTTTCACAGGACTGAAAGTGACAGGTTGTTCTCTAATAACAACTTAGTGTGTTTCAGAGAAGTCGCTGAGGACAGCTAAAGTAGTCTCACACAGGTTGTCAGCGGATATTTATTGAGCATCTCCATGTGCCAGGCAAAGCTACCATGTGCAGGGTGAAGAGGTTGTGCTCCATCTCAGCATCAGCCCCAAGAAGTTCCCTTCCTATCTTGGAGTAAGTGCTGCATAAAGTATTCTGTTTAAAGAAAGAACAATAAAGCTTGAAGACTACACATCCAGTCACCTAATTTTTCAGTTGGGGAAACAGAGGGCCAGAGAGGTAAAACGGCATGCCCAAAGTGAAGGAATACGTTAACATCAGAGGCAAAATGAACCAGGATTCTGATTCACAGTTTATTTTCCCTTCCTCCAGCTTATGGTAGAAACTTGCTTTCTGATATTTTAGAAAATAAAACCTGTTGCTGAAGAGTTGATTTCAACTCAGAGACCATATAGGATACAGTAGAACTGTACCATAGGGTTTTCAGAGCTATAATCTTTATGGTGACTCCATAGGGTAAGTACTGTACTGAGAATCACAGGTCAGTGGTTCAAGTTCACCAACTGCTCTTTGAGAGAAAGATGAGGTTTTCTTCTCCCACAAAGATTAAAACCCTTGAAAATTCTATACGGGGTCACTATGAGTCAGAATCAATTTGACAACACGTAACAACAACCACAATCTTTATGGAAGCAGACTGCCACATCTTTCTCCCACAGAGTGGCTGGTGGATTTGAACCAATCAACCTTTCAGTTACCAGCTGATGTTTAGCCACTGTTCCAGCAAGGATCATTTTTAAGAAAATAAATGTGCACTGGATAACTAAATCAATATAGAAGAAAAAGAATAAAGCACTCCCACACATCTAAACATACTATATTGTTGTTGTTGTTAAGTGCCATTGAGCTGGTTCTGATTCATAGAAACCCTGTATAGGGTTTCCAAGGAGTGGCTGGTGAGCTTGAACCCCTGATCTTGCAGTTCAAATTGACCTTGCAGTCCAGCCCATTAGCCTACAGCACCACCCAGCCACTGTAATCTAAACAACCTCGTAATGACTCAATAATAGACACAAGATCCGTAGAGTGAATTGAGAACTTGGAATTAAACCCAGCTTAACAATTGTGAGGTTGGCCCAGGATCGGGCAGTGTTTCATTCTGTTGTGCATAGGGTCACTATGAGCTGGTACTGACTCAATGGCACCTAACAACAACAATAACATCTATGGACAAATGATTTTTGACAAGTGGTCAATGCCCATTTAGTGGAGCAGAAATGATCCCTTGAGTAAACAGTGCTGGCAAACTTGGATATCCACTTGCAGAAAAATGAAACAGAACTCACACCATATACAAAAATTTAGTCAAAATGGGCCAGAGACCTAAACATTAAACCTAAAACCATAAAGAGGATGAAAATGATGGGACTTAATCTTTTTTCATAAAAAATTGGATAACAAAAAACACAGTAAATGCGCGAATATAAAAAGGCAAAGTAGAAAAATGGGACATCATAAAAATAAAAACCAAATCAAAACATACCCTCATCAAAAGACTTTATTGAATCTACAGACTGGGAAGAAAAATCTTTAGAAATGACCTATCCAATAAGGGTCTACTTTCTAAAATCTATAGAAAACTGCAATAACTCAAACATAAAAAGACAAACAACCTGATCACAAAATGGGCAAAGGACGTGAACAAAAGAGGACATTCACCAAAAAGGACATTCAAGCAGCCAATAAACATGAAAAGATCTTCATTGTCATTAACCAGTTAGAGATACAAACCAGAACTACAGAGAGAGACCATTTTACTCTAGTGAAAATAGCATTGACAAAAATGAAACAGCAAATGTTGGTGGGGATTTGGGGTGATTGGAAAGCTTATACATTGTTAGTGGGAATATAAAATGGTACAACCATTATAGAAAACGGTATGGCATTTTCTAAGAGAAGAAAACTACCGGATGATCCAGTGATCCCATTTCTAGGTGTAAATAGAATGACATGAATAGACATACTCATACCTATGCTTATTGCTGCATTATTCACAATAAAAAATAAATAGAAACAACCAAAGTTCCCTTCAATTGATGAATGAAAAGGCAAACTGTTACATAATACAATGTAATACTATCCACCATAAGGAACAACGAGTCCACAAAACATAACATGGATGAATCTGGAGAGCATAACTTTAAGTGTAATAAGTCAAGCACATAAGGACAAATATTGAAAGATCTCTTTTTTTGTAAGAAGACAGGAATAAATAGAGAGATAAATATTTATTGAAAGTTAACAGGAAAGGGGTGGGTGGGTTGAGAAAGTATATTTTATACAATGGTGGTGGTGGTGGATGTGTGTCACGGAATCAGTTCTGACTAATAATGATCCTGTATAGGGTTTCTGAGGCTGTAAATATTTACAGCAGCAGAAAGCCTCATCTTTCTCCCGCAAAGCAGGTGGTAGATTCAAGCTGCTGACCTTGTGGTTAGCAGCCCAACTTGTAATCTATTATTCTACCTGGGCTCCTTTTATACTATAGAAACTATTTATTTTTGGTAATGGGAAAAATGGCACTGAATGTAGATACGGTGATCACAACACAACCAAAGCCATAGCACATAGTTGAACACATATGGATTGGGTAGGTACAGATGTGGGCATAGGTGAGAACAGAGAGCAATGTCTATGACAAATTAAAAAGGAGCCCTGGAAGTGCAGTGGGCTATGTGTTGAGCTTCTAATCAATGGGTCAGTAGTTTGAATCAACCAGCTGCCCAGGAGGAGGAGGCTGAGGCTTTCTACTTCTATAAACATTTACAGCCTCAGAAACCTTATACAGGGTCGTTGTGAATTGGAACCGACTTGATGGCACACAGAAAACTGACACTGTCATTGAGCCAATTTTGAATCATAGTGACCCTTTATACAGTTCCTGAGCATAAGGCCTCATTTTTCTCATAAGGAGCAGCTGGTGAGTTTGAACCACTGACCTTGCAGTTAGCACCTTATCATACAGTACAATCAGGGTTCCCTAGAAGTATTGTTGTTGTTAAGTGCCATCGAATCAGTTTTGACTCATAGTGACCTTGTATAGGGTGTCCAAGGAGTAGCTGGTAGGTTTGAATCACCAGACTTGTGGTTAGCAGTCCAGTGCTTATCCTATAGCATCACACCAGTATTTATTGTTAAATGCCATCTAGTTGGTTTCAATTCATAGCCACCCTGTATAGGGTTTCTAAGGAGTGGCGGGTGAGTTTGAAACGCCAACCATGTGGATCAAATTGACCTTTTTGTCCAGTGCTTATCCTACTATGGACCCCCACACCAGGACCCACACACCAGGACTTCTTGTTGCTGTGAAGTGCCTTTGAGTCAGCTC